CACCAGTCTACACTCCCACCAGCAATGGAGAAGGGTTCCTTTCTCCCCACAACCCCTCCAGCATTTGTTATTTGTTGATTTCTTGATAGCAGCCATTCTTTCTGGGGTGAGGTGGAATCTCAGTGTTGTTTTCATTTGCATCTCTCGAATGATGAGTGATGTTGAACATTTTTTCATATGTTTATTTGCTGCTTTTACTTCATCTGAGAAATGTCAGTTCATTTCAGATGCTCATTTTCGAATTGGGTCTTTATATTTGGGAAGTCTGATTTTTTTTTTTAGTTCTTTATATATTTTAGATAGTAGACCTTTGTCTGAGGAACAGCTGGTAAAAAATTTTTTCCCACATCGTAGGTTGTCTCTTAGCTCTGTTAATGGTTTCTCTTACAGTGCAGAAGCTTTTTAATAAGATGAGATCCCAGTTATTGATTCTTTGTGCTAGTTCCCATGCTACTGAAGATTTGTTCATAAAGTTTTTTCCTATGCCAATGTCTTCGAGACATCTACCTAACTTATCTTCCAGCAAGCCTAGTGTTTGTTTTAATATTTTGATCTTTAATCCACTTCGATTTTAGTTTAGTGCATGGTGAAAGATAGAGGTCTAGTTTTAATCTTTGGCAGGTTGAAATCCAGCTTTTCCAACACCATTTATTAAAGAGGCTATCTTTCCTCCAGTGAGGATGGTTGGCTCCTTTGTCAAAAATGAGGTAGCTGAGTATGACTGGAGTTGTTTCTCCATCTTCTAATCTATTCCACTGATCCTCAGGTCTGTTTCTTTGCCAGTGCCATGCTATTTTTATGACAGTGTCTTTGTAGTATAGTTTTAAGTTGGGGATTGTGATACCCCTGGCAGAAACTTTTCAAAAACATTTTTTTACTAACTCTACTTGGCCATTTCACACCTGTGACCCTGGAACATTTCACTTATACTTTTTTTCTACTGCAGACTCTTATACTTGATGTTATTGCTGAGTTTTTCCAAATTAATCATAAGCTTATTGAAGGCAGGAGTTATCACTCCCAATGCTTCATTCAAAGGGTCAAAATTCATTCAGTCCACTTACAGCAATTATGCACTTTAGATATTAGTCACTGTAAATTCCAGGTTGTTGGCCAGTAGGCCATAAGCTCCAATTTGCCAAAGAATCACAAGAGCTCTGTTCAGATTCCTGGACTCTTAAGATTCCCAAGTGATTGTATGCAAACATTCCAAGAACCACTGTTGAGAAATGGAGAGTCATCAGTGTCTCTAACAGAAACTTCTCTCATCTGAACTCTGGAAGTGAGCATTTTTTAAGGCACTATCCTCGAGATCCATTCATTCAACAAACATTTGCTAAGCAACCTCCAATATGCAGCGGTTAGAGTGTTGGCTTGCCCTCAAAATAATGACAAGTTGGGAAAGAAAGATCTTGCTACTGTAAATAGTCTGAAGCTCAGCCTGTGGATAATCTCTTAGCCATTGTAACGTGACCAATTTCCAGGAGATGGCACCAAAGCTCAAGGGCCAGCCACTCATCTAGGTACAGTATTTCTACTGGAGGGTCTTGATGTACATCTGTCTGTTGCTCGGTAGATAAAGGTGTCTGTACTATTTGAAGTTTTCTTATCTTTTTCTAACAACATGGCAGCTGGCAATGAGTATATTTAGAGTAAGAGAGCAAAAACACTGTCATCCATTGCCTAGTGATAGGGATACATTCTGAACAGTGCATCACTGGTGAGTGCCATGTGCACATCACAGTGTACTTACACAAACTAAGCCACACAGCCTATGAGACAGCCATGTAACAAAATCCCATCATTTATTTCTATAAAGGTAAAGGCATTAAAAAGGAGACTAAATGGATGCATGTTGAGGCCAAACTCTAAGTGAAATACATAGGACACACACGTGTAAATACTGAATAGTTTCTCTGGTGTGAGAAACTCAAGTGTAAATAAGGATGAAAATGTATAACAGATAATGTGAAATAGGAAGAAAAGGTGCAAAGGGGAAGGGGAAGTGGGAGGGATAGGGGAAAGGAAAGAAGGGAAAGGAATTAATATGAGAAAAGGAAAAACATGAACAAAATCTTTGTAAATAAGGAAGTGTGGAGGGATTGAAGGGAGGGGAGAGGAAGGGGGAAAAAATAAGAACCAAGATACATCATGTAAAGGAACAAGATCCCAATGATGAATGTCATCATATTGTATACCTAAAATGTACCAATACATTTAATGAATAAACAAAATTAAAATTAAAATTAAAAAATAAAAAGGAGAAACCTGTATCTTGCAGACCAAAATACTCACTACGGTAGATTTTCACACATGAACAAAGAAGAGAAGAGCTTGAAAGAAAAAAATGGTACAGTTTGAAAAGTTACCATTTACATTATAAATTACCATTTACATGATAATTTTGAAAATATTCTGTAATTATAAAAGACAGTGACTATGGAAACAAGGTGACATTAATCTTTCATCATCACTTTTAAATGAACAGGAAAATACTCCTAAAAAGGGGAATTGACTCTATAGACTACAGGAATAAGTAGCTGTACACTGATTTAGGATCTTAATATTTTACTGCAAGAAATGCCTTTTCTTAACCCAGTTAACAAAGGAGTTTGCAAAACAAGTTCTTCCCTTTTTACAGTAAAGCGATAAATAAAGTCATGAAAGCAGAAAATAAAGGCAGGAGGGGACATTTAAATGGAGAAAACATGAAGGTGACAATTCAAATATAAATGCAGGCTCAGTCTGCTTTTATATAGTGGTTGTTTTGCTTATATAAGAAAAAGTCACTTTTTTAAAATGTGGAAAGAGGTAGAAACTTCTGGTTTTATTCTTTTTTTTTTTTTTTTTTTTTGGTACTGGGGATCGAACTCCAGTCCTTGAGTTTGCAAGGCAGGTGGCAGAACCACTGAGCTAAATCCCCGGCCCATTATTTTTATTCTTAATCATTAGGCAATGCTTCCATTATTAGAAAAAATAAGTTCCTCTTAGGGCACTAAATTAATTAAACTAATAATCAGATTATAGACTTCGGAGTTGTATCATGTTTTAACAGATTGAAATCCACGCATATAAAATGGGATACTTAGCAGGATATAAAGTGACATAATAATTACTGTTAATGACTTTCAGTTTTAAAAGAGAACTTTAAAGAAATTTATTTCCATCAAAACTTTAGAGGACTGCGTAGCCTAAAGAAATGCTATTTAGCTGAAATATTTAACAGCTAAGTTACCAAAAGAAAATGTGTGCTATAAATTAAAATGTATTTTTAACATGTTCCAAATACACTTATTAAATATAAAGATATGGTTCTGGTACATAAAATATTTACAACTAATAAAAAGCAGGTTACAGAATATACATGTTCTGTGTATAAAAATAAGACTGTCTTACAGTTCAGGCCAAGGGATTTTTATCATCCAGGTTTTATCTATGCAACTATTATAGTACCATCTCATGAACATTGCTGGAACATATGCGTACATGGAAGGAGTTAACAGTAATCTTGAGTTAAAGCTCATAAAGGTCTTTTAGGACTTGTACATCTTCTAAAGTAAAATGGTTGTTCGGTATGTCTGAAAGCTCATTCAGCAGCTGTTCAATTTGTTCCTTTTGGTGCTTGTTAATGAGTGTCAATATCATCTGAAAGAATGAAATAATTACCATTTTTAAAGTTTTAGAAACCCTGAAAAAACTCAATCTCTATTAATAAAATATTTTGCCACTTACCTTAAATCTATCTGCTTTACTTAGATACAAAAGATGGTGATACACCAAGGCAGGATCTTTAGCAATAAGATGATTTTTCAGAGACTGAATGAGGAGAAGGAATGTATCCCCTTCAAGCTTGTTACTCAACAGCACTGGCAAATCTTTTGGTCCAGTGATGGCTAAAAGGTGTGCACAGGCTTCTTCATCTTTCCTGGTATTGATAGCATTTATTACCTGACCAAACTCATAGGCATTAATAGGCTTGGAGATCTGAAGTGACTCGGAGTGCTCTGGCGGCCCAGTGCTTTCATCGCCCTTCTCAGAAGCCAGACAGGCAGTGGAGACCTCTGCTGGGTTTTCCTCAGGCTCCTCTTCACTGCCTTCATTCACCTTCACAAGGAAAAGAAAGTCACCATGACACCGCGTGACAGTCACCACAAATATCCTAAGTTACATGTGTCAAAATGGGAACTGAAAACCACAAGTAGACTGTACTTTAATCATGTTTCTTAGTGAAAAATCTAATTTGTAACAAATTGTAAAATGTGCAGTTTCTTTAGGAAAAGTTTTAGGTTTTCATAAAAGTATTCTTCTTTTTTTTTTTTTTTTTTTTGTGTGTGTGTGGGGGGGGGTTTTTTTTCGGTACCAGGGATCGAACTCGGGTCCTTGCGCAGCAGGCAGTGAAACCACTGAGCTAAATCCCCGGGCCTAAAAGTATTCTTCTGTAAAGTTTTTATAAGGTCATTTTACATTGAGAATTTAACAAAATTTTATTTTAAAATTTTCCATGAGTAAAATTACACAAAGGAGGACCTATAATAATTTTCTTTCATGATAAATTTTACATTTACTGTTCCTTACCCTTTACAGAGAAGTGAGTTTATATTTTTCAGTTCTCTTAAAACAGCTTTTTCTTCCTTCATTAGAGGGAAAAAACTTCTAGCTTCTCTTGCCTATGAACCTCTTAGTAAACTTAAGACCATCAATGGGACGATGTTAATGACATTCATGAATGTACTGAAATCTGTGCCTGACATTCTTCACTAGTGGCAAAGGAAAACATTTGGTTGTCAGGAATAACAAAGGCAGATGCTATAGTTTATATCTAGATGTCCTCCCCAAAGCCTTATGCACTCATAGGTGGGGCTTTGGGGGGTGATTTGATCATGGATGAGTCTACTGATTCATTTTGTTTTTTTGTTTGTTTGTTTGTTTGTTTGTTTTTTGTTTTTGGTACCAGGGATCGAACTCGGGACCTTGCACTTATGAGGCAGGTGGTGGAACCACTGAGCTATATCCCAGGCCCCTACTGATTTGTTTATACCTAAATGTGATGTTGGGAGGTGAAGCCTGGTCAGAGGAGGTGGGTCACTGGGGGTGTGGCCTGGAAGGATTTATCTCTTCCCTTCACCCTCTCTGCTCCTTGAATGCCATGCCATGAGCTCTTCTCTATCATGCCCCTCTGCCATGTCGCCCTACATCAAAGCAGTGGAATATGGACTCTGCAAACTGTGAGCCAAAATAAAGCTTTTCTCCTTAGAGTTGTTGTATCTCAGCGACAAGAAAGGAACTAAGACAGCAGGTTTGACTGGGGAAGTCCAAATCCTCTGTGGAGCTGATCTTAGTTCAGAGAGCTAAAAAAAGTCAATCTGAAAAATCACAGGATGTGGGTTGCAGGCCCCCTGAAACTGAGTCACATCAGCATTCTCCAGCTCTACCCTGAAGCCGTTTGATGGCCAAGGGCTCCCAGTGCACTGCAGAGGGGAGCAGGACAATTCATAGGCCGGGTAGAGTGGGCAAAGAAGGGAGAACTTTAGTAATACAGAGCCCATTACAACTGCAGGTCCATGCTGGGAAGTACAACGGTAATAATCACTGCAAAAGGCAAGTTTTGTCTTTATAACTAGCTAAATTTCTCAATGATCATCACAAGAATAACAAAAGATTTTTTGTAGAACTCTCAGGAATATGACCTTAAAATCTCTGTAGAGACCTTTCAAATCTCCAAGAGACCTTTCACAGATAATAAAATACAAATACCTCTTGAATTTCAATTTTCCGTCTCTCTTTTTCTTTGTTGAATGGTGCTGTATTATCTTTAAGGAATCTGGTTACCTCTTCCAGCTCCATCTTTGCCTCAGCAATATTTGGGTTTAGTAGGAGAACTTTATTGAGGTCAGTTAAGCTTTCCTGATAATTCTGAAAGGAGGAAGACAGAAAAAATAATTTTCATAAATAAAAGATGGGACCTTCCTTAATTAGCCTGAGTTGACAAAGCGGGTGGGTGTGCAGGGGCTTTCCGTCAGCACCACTCTTGTGGGCCTATGGGTGAGTGTGCCGCTAAGACAATAAAACCTGTAATACAGCCAGTGTCTGCTGAAAAGGAAGGAACACAGAAACTGGACTTGGAAAACTCATGTTCCATTTTGTATCACCACAACCTTCACTGTCCTTAACACATTGTAGGCATTCCTCTGCTGAGTGAATAAATAAAACAATGAAGCACCTCATTATGCCCTACTAACAGTGCAAAGCCCACTTAACCCTTCTGAGCTTCAGTTTTCTCACTTTTGAAATAAAAGTAAAACCTCTATTCTACTTTTCACAAGTCTGTACCAATGAATGCATAAAATGAGTGGGTTAACATATTCATGATGGGGCTCTAATTCACACGTCTCGCTGCCAGGCGGCTTCAGCTACCAGTGGTACATGTTAAACCTGGAAGGTCCATACAGACTGTCATTATTATAGTATTCTTCCATGAAACCCTTCAGAGTTACTATCCAAAATAGGCTAATGTCAACTTTTAATGTCACTCAAGGGTCAGACAATGCACTGAAGAGGCTGAGGACAAATAAAGAGAATCTATAACTATTAAGCACAGCTGCTGAATCTGGCAGAAAAGACAAGAGGCCACAAATCCATACTACAGGCACAGGCCACGCTGTAGAACTACACAGTAGATGTATTTTTTGGTTAAGCTAAATTGTGAGGAGGCAAAGAACTGCAATAACATGTAACCTGGTTTTATTTGGGGGGGTGGGTGCAAATCCTGGGGGTTGAACCCAGGAAATGCTGAGCCACTGCCCCACCTCAAACTGACCCACCCCCTTTGAGACTGGGTCTTGCCCAGGTTGGCTCTGAATTTACAGTCTTCCTGCCATAGCCACCACGCCCAGCCGTGACCTTTCCAGCAGTCATGACACATCAGCACCAGGATGCACTGGAAGCTGAAACTCAGATAAACTGAGCTACTGGTTCTATGACATTCCTAAAAGACTGGCTGGAATGATGCATCCCTGCCCCCTGCCCCAGCAACACACCATAGCAAGATGACAGTTTACAGGAATAATTTTAAATCTGCTCTGATGGGGAGGGAGGTTGTTTTATTGTTTTATTTCGGTTTTTTGTTTTTGAAACAGGGTCTCCCTACGTTGTTCAAACTGGCCCTGAACTCCCTATGTAGCCCAGGCTGGCCTCAAATTCTCAGTGATTCTCCTGCCTCAGCCTCCCCAATGCTGGGATTACAGGTCTGTGCCATCATGCCCAGTTTGCTCTAATTTCTTTTTTTTATAGCGGGGATCAAACCTTGAGCTTGCCAGGCAGGCATGGCACCAATGAGCTACATCCCTGGACCGGCTCTAATTTATTTTTAAAAAGGTGAATTGTTTGCAAACTATAGTACATTATGTACTAGTAACAAATCTCCACATACCTCTGTGTTACAAGGGCACAATCGGAACCTACTAGAAAAAAATAAACTGACATTGTTTAATGAGACATCTAAGTGTCCTAGGCAAGGACTCATTTGTGAAAGGCAAGGGAGTGAGGCAGGAAGGCAAGCTGAGGGAGATAACTCCTACCACTCTAAGCATTTCACAAGTATTACTTGACTCTCATAGTAACCTACAAATACTCTCTTGCATTATTCCCACTTTTGATGAAGAAACTGAGGCACAGAGAAGTGAGCTTTGAGATAATCATAGCAGCAGTTTCCATTAAGGGGATGATAATCCAGTATGGAAGTCAAGTTGAGATCTGAAAAGAAAGACCTGTGAGCTGCAGCCTTGGAAATGAAGTACAACCCACAGGACGGGACAGGGTTGTTTTCACCCATCCAAGAAAGTCTGCCTAGAGAGCATCTGGGGTGGTTGGGGCAGACCTGTGAATCGGGAAACGTGCTTTGATTATAGAGCTAAGCAGAAAGGCAGGACAGCAGGAAGGGTGGGGACATCGCCAGGCAGGTGGAAGGTCCCTTCACCTCAGTGGTCACTAAGTGGTCCCCAGGCACAGAGCTGAGAACGCTGTGACACAAAGGACAGACTGGAGGAAGCCACGGTCCTATGAGGGGCAACAGTAAAAAAGGCAGATGAGTGATTAACTATGGAGTGTCGTGATGCCGTTGAGAGCAAAGGATTGAGATGACAAGAGGGGAGCTGTCAGCTTTTGCTGCAGTTGTCAGAGAAGTCAGAGGAGGAGAGGAAGCAGCTCTGTAGAACGGAGGGAGGAAGAGATACAAAGTGTGGCTTGGGCAGAAAGGAGGACATTAAATGATGCTAATAACCTCGTAGGCCTTTAAAAAACAATGTTATATTGGTTGGCTATAATATTTACTATTCACAGACATGCCCCAACTATAAAAGTAGTAACTATCTCCCAAGGTTTTATTCTTTTGGTATTGTTCACCTTGTAGCATGCTCTATTGGCTGCAGACTCCTTAAGCAGGTACAGTACTCCATCTCATTCATCTCTATACTAACAACACCGCCTGTGACCAGCACTTGGTAGGACAGAAAAACTGTAAATGAAAGCAAGATATTCAGAGGCCTCTGAAGGACCTCTGTGCATATTTTTCAGAACTGCATGTAAGGGCCAGGAATTTAGCTCAGTGGCACCACACCTGCCTCACAAGGGCAAGGTCCTGAGTTCGATCCCCAGTACCAGGTGGGGTGGGGGGAACTGCATGTGCACACACACTATTGAAGACAGCTAGAAACGAATCAAAGATCTGAGGAAGCAGAAAGTTCAGCTGGGAGCTCCAGACAGGGCACCCGTACCCACAGCCCCGGGCCACTTCTTCCTTTCAGTCACTGCACAACAGGACCCAGGAATGAGTTCTGATGTGTGTTAGGAGCAGTTGTGGCCTCTGAAGATCCTGAAACTAAACTCACTTGGCACATACCGCAACCCACTGGACAGAGAAGCCATTTATAAAATCAAATCTGAAAAACAAGGTACCAGCCCCATAATCAAATGGGATAGGGTTGCTCAAATTTGGGATTCTCTTTCTGCATCATAATAGAATTTCTAGAATTTATTCTAAGTATAAAATTCCAGTCCTTCCTTAGGTAAAGCTTCTGACATTTAGGCAGCTAAATAGGTTCAAAGAGAAAGGTAGGCAGCACAAGGTAGAGTTTCTCTAAGAGTTTGGACATTGTATATAAATTCATGCATATCTATCACTGAGCCAAGTCCGTTAGCTCTTCCGATGGTCCTCATTTGGTCTGTGATGCAATGATATGGCAGCTCCCTCCCAACAAAACTAGACATTTCCCAGTCAGTGATGGGCAAGGAATGAAAAGAACCATCTCCTTTCCCCAAAGTCCATAATAAAATGCATAAGAACAGCACATAATGCATAAGAACAGCTTTTCTCATAACAGCCCCACGCTGGCAATGATGTGTGGACAACTAGTGAATACATAAACAAATTCCATTCATACAGCTCAGTGTTCAAAAGCAACGATTCCAGACACAAGATGGATGAATCTCTGGTTCATGCTCATGGAAAACACCCAACGAGTGGAGTAGTGTATATTTATGTTCATGTCAAAAAGAAGCAAATTACAGCAAGAGAAGTTAGATTAATGGAGCCAGTGTAGCGGCACACACCTAGAATCTCAGCTCCTCGGGAGGACGAGGGAGGAAAAGCACACGTTCAGGGCCAGTGTGAGCAACTTAGCGAGAGCTTGTCTCAAAAGGAAGCTTAAAAAGGACTAGGAATGTAGGTCAGTGTTTCCCACTTTCAGCCCCAGTACTGCTAAATAAAAAATAAATAAATGAATAAATAAAATAGAGGGAAAGGGTGGAGAGGCAGACTGCAAAGGGCCTCAGGGAACTTTCTAAAGAGAGGTAAGTGTTCTTTATCTTGATTAAGATGGTGGCAACAGGAGAAAAACATTTTATCAAACTCAGTAGGGCCGGGGATTTAGCTCAGTGGTGCCGCGGCCTGCCTCACAAGTGCAAAGCCCTGAGTTTGATCCCCCGTACCAAAAAAAAAAAAGTCAATATATCTGAATCACATCTTAATAAAATTTGATTTAAAAACATTTCAGGAAATGCATTCTCTACTATTTTCTGGTTTTCCTGGTGGCATTCTTTTCTACATACTTAAACACTCATTTGTGAAGGTCTCCATGCAGAAGAAGTGTGATTGCATGACACCTGTCTTCCGCACTCACTGTGTGGTTTTCTGAGAAAGGAACGCCATTCTGCAGTCTCACACTGACCTGACCGACAGCCAGCTCCAGCCCCGGACCCATAAGCGTCCAAGTCTCATACATCACCAATGTGCCCAAGCAACCCATCTTCCACATGGATGCCTTCCCCACCCCACTTCCAACCCCAGATTTTGCAGGAGGAACCAGCTGGCACTGTGGTCAGGTTTCAGTCATTCAGTAACACTCTTCCCTTAAAAGGGAACCTATCATAACTAATAATCCTCCTTAGAAAAGCAGAGGATCACAACTTTTAAACCGGAAAGATTGTCAGAAACCGTTCCCATTATCATGAGGGGTGAGATGTGAATCCTAGTCCAAGGTTTTATTTAGTACTGGTTAGTATAGTTACAAGGATTAAATCCCAGATAATCTCACTCTCATTCCATGACCCCCAGATTTAGGTTCAGGAAAACCATTTGATTTGTTCAGTGCTGAAATTTATGTGTGTGAACACATGGGTGCCCTCACCTTGAGGGCTTTGTGAGCCAGTGCTCGCCGGTAGCAAGCTTTCACGTTCCTGCCATCTAGCCGAAGGGCCTGGTCACAGTCCTGCTTGGCCTCTTCAAACTGGCACAGCTTCAAGTAACAGAGAGCTCTGGCGTAGCACAAGGGAACACAGTGTTAAGAAAGGTAAAGAGAGAGCACCTGCAAATTTAGACATCTTGTCAAAATCTGAAAACAGCCAAGTCTGTCTATACCACAGCTGTTCAGCAGAAACTTGATGTGTGACTCCCGTTACATCACTATCTTGTACTGCGTGAGGTGACAGCACTAGGGATATAAACGCAAACAAAATACAGCCCCTGCCACTGCAGCCAGGGGAAGAAGGGTCCCCATGGAAAACCAAGCAGCCAATGCTGCCCATCCTGCAGAGGCCAGAAAATAGCTGTTGGATTTAGTGATGTTTTTGGCAGAAAGCTGCCAACAGAGGAAAATGTACAAAGCCACAGTGAGAGGCTAAGTTAAGGATTTATCTGAAATAGCTAAGAAAATGCCTAGAACCTGTCCTTTATTCCTCCTGTCACCCCACAGTCTACACACTACCTAAAAAAAATCCCCAAATCACACTTTAGAGTGTTGTTTTTTTTTTTAGACAGGTTTTGCTATATAGGTCAGGCTGGCCTTGAACACACTATGTAGCACAGGTTGGCCTCAAACTTGCAGCAATCCTGCTTCAGCCTCCCAAGTGCTGGGATTACATGCATTACTGGTCACCATGCCCAGGCAGAGTGGTGTCTTTGACCACATATGGCAAAGATGGCTCCTGAGCAGTGTTCTAGAATCATCCACCTGTTCCTGCTACATGCTATGAAAGATGCTGGTCCCTTCCCTCAGCATTCAGAAGAAGCGGGCATTGTTCCCCGGAAACCATTCTAGCTCATAGGGACCCAGTAACCCAGACATCAGACCCTCACCCTGTCACACTGCATGTGGCCACCTCTTTCAGAGACACTCACTGAGGACACCTTGCCACATACATGCCTACAACCACGACAAAACACTTTGGCAAATAATTAATTTTTGTCAATTAATTTTAAGGAAATAAATGACTTATTTTAAAATTATTACTTTAAAAAGTACTGAGAAATATATAAAATTACAAAACACTTGCCTATTTGTATATATGGCACACTCCTCACTGCAAATCTGTAAGCACTCAGTGTATTTGCTAAGAGCTTTTTTATAGTTTTTGTCCTTTGCATATTGATTTCCTTCTTCCTTAAGGGCTTTAAACATTTCTTCATCTATGGGACAAAATTTTTTAAAAGAGAGAGGAAATATTCATGTTAGTGCCTTGATATCTTTAAGTACAGCTATAAATTAACTTGGTCATACACCATGCTGGTCTCAATGAAAAACTTTGATATAAATTGAGAAGACAAACTGGGTAAATTAAAAATATATTATAGGGCCGGGGATTTGGTTCTGGTGCCTGCCTCGCAAGCACACGGTCCTGACTTTGATTCCTGGTACAAAAAAAAAAATAAAAAAAATTTATATATATATATATGCCTCCTTTTCTCTCCTGGATTCTGGAGATTTTAAGAGGCCAGAACTACTTAAGAGAGGGAGAGAATTAAGCCAAGACCCAGGGACACAGGTGACCACATGACAAGAGCTACCTTCTCAAATATGGCTGCTCATGCAAAGCACCAAAACCACAGCATTTCATTTTTTCATTTACTTATTTTTTGGCAGTACTGGGGACTGTACCCAGGGCCCTGCATATGCTAGGCAAGCACTCTATCACTGAGCTCTATCTCCAGCCTTTTTTGTTTTATCTTTGAGACAGGATCTTGCTCAGTTGCCCAGACCAGCCTTCAACCTGCAATCCTCCTCCCTCAGCCTCCAGAGTGGCTGATATTACACAAATACCCTCAAAGAATTTTCTGTAACCCAATCCACTGCCTCATACAGCACTTTGACAACAGTATAGGGCCTTTTAGACCTTTCATTAAGCTGGAGGTATGGTGGAATCAGTTTTTGAAACATGAACACAAATAGCTTTAGTGTTCAGCTCAACATACTTCTTGAATAATGTCAAACCAACCTCTTAAAGCCGGAAGTGGACATCTACTTAGCAGCCCAGGCTTCCTGCTATCTATTTATGTTTCTCTTTCAACATTTCTTTAGGCTTTGTTCTACTCAAGAGCTTAATTCTTTTCCTTCTTAGGAATATTGCAACTTAACATTTATTCACACAGTCAGCACATAAACAAACTACTGTACAGACACGCCTCCCTTTCTTCCTAAGAACCACCTCCTGAGACAGCTGTCAAGGTCTCCCTTTCCTACACTCCAGAACATGGGGGCTATGAAGCAATTTTTTAATTATATTTTGAGACAGGGTCTCACTATGTAGTTCAGGCTGGCCTCAAACTCGCTGTAATCCTCCTGCCTCAGCCTCCTGAGTGCTGGGATTTCAGGTGTGTACCAACCAACCTCCCCGGTTTTGAAGCAAATTCTTGAGGCCAAATAGTTAAGAAGAGAGAAAAAAGGGTCTTAAACTCTAATGCCAGAGTTTAGGATCCTCTCTCTCTGCTTTACTGTGGAAATAAACACATGGACCAAGACACCCTGCAGAAGGGAAGAATGCAGGCTCCCCGCACCTGAGATGCTGGATGTGGTGCAGCTGCCCGGGTCTCCTGCTTGGTTGGGGGCAGCCTGTGACACAGGACACCATGTTCGAAGTGGCTCTGAGGTGGGCACCATAGGAATGGGTGACAGCTTCTCCCGCCAATTTGGTCCATCCAGCGCCATTAAGATTCTTGTTATTCTAAAAAGAAATAAAGGCGTTTCCTCTATTGATCATGCAGTTCTTTTAAATGAGTGAAGGTCAGATCAACAGCAAGACGACAAACGCCACACTTGAGTGTGCTTCCTTGTAGAAAACATATGATCTTGAGCTATTTTCTGTTCACATAAACTGTTTTCAAAAGGGTCTTTAAAAGTTGCCCTTGGGCCGGGGATTTAGCTCAGTGGTTCCAGCACCTGCCTCCCAAGCACAAGGTCCTGAGTTCAATTCCAGTATACCTCCCCCCACAAAAAAGGTTGCCTTTACTGACGTAACTTTAGACCATTTTCTTTCCTTTTCTTCTTGAGGGGGCCTGCTATGTTGCCCAGATTAGCCTTGAACTTTAAATCCTCCTGCCTCAGTCTCCCAAGTAGCCTGGATTACAGGCACCCACAACTGCGCCTGGCTAGACCATTTTCAAATCAAAAGAAAAAAATTAAGACATTTTAAATTTGTTTAAAATTTGATAAAATATACATGACAAAATTTTAATTTTTGAAAAAGTGAAATTTAAAACTAAAATTTAGGAGGCCTAAAAGAAATATCCATGATAATATTAAATGCAATTACTAAATGGATAATGCATTACTCTTGAGGATAGTTAGAGTACTTCAGAAATTCCTTGTGCGAACTGTATACTACAGTGGTAGAAGACAAGTGTGCAAGATCAATGCTCACACTCATGAGGGTTGGCTACCACGTGGGACAGACAGTGCGGCTTCTCAAGACACTGCCACACGGCTAAGCTGGTCCTTGTGAGATAAGCCACTTACTTTCTTTTCGTATGAATAAAGATGAAAAAGTTGAATATTTTAGTATATTTTAGAATATATCTTATATATTTTAGAATATTTTATTCTCTTTTAAGAATTCTTGGGGCTGGGGATTTAGCTCAGTGGTTCTGCCACCTGGCTCGCAAGTACAGGGTCCTGAGTTCAATCCCTGGTACCAAAAACAAAAAAGAATTCTTCTACTAATGGGATTTACAAATGACCATCATAAAATTCATATTAAATCCTTAACTATCATTTTCTCCTTATTTTAAAAATTCAGAATGTTACACTTAGATTTAAAAACAACATTGAATTATGCCTTTGGAATCAATCTGGATTTTTAAAAAGGCACTTCCCAAGACTGAGAAGCCTTATTGGTAATTAACAGAATACATTCTAGTTAGTTAAGTCTATGGTTTCATGTATGTTTCGTATGCAAAATTTTTTTTATTTACATAGAATTATAATATGCATATTTCCCATTTCTTAAATGTAAATTTCAAAGTGATCTTTGGTTATGATAACTAAATCTCACTGTTTTATTGCAAAAAAAAAAAAACACTAAAAATTAATATACAACCACCCACAATTGCAGAAGAAAAAAAAAAGCTTTTGAAAAAAGAAGTTTTAAGCAAAACTTGTATTACCAGTAGGAGAGGAAGGAAGAACCAGCTGAAAGCTGAAAAGAGTTGATGTGTTGCCAGGGAGGAAATAAGTTATGCACGGAAATGTAACATTAAGATTCCTGGAGAGGAAGAAAGGAATATGGTTATGGAAGACAGAAACAAAATAAGCACAGATGCTTAAATTAAAAAAAAAAGAAGGGCTGGAGATTTAGCTCAATGGTTCTGCCACCTGCCTCGCAAGCACAAGGCCCTGAGTTCAATCCCTAGTACCAAAAAAAAGAAAGAAAAGTAAGGTGCTGATACTTAATTTTCCACCATGAACTGAAATAGATGGAAAAGCAAGCATAAATACAAGATTCACAAAAACAATAGTGTGATTTTAAAAATGGATATTTTATATATTTTTTAAAATGGCAAAATCAGGTAAGGCCTCTTCATCTTTTATAAAACAATGTGTCAACAACAACCATTCAATTTAAAAAATGACAGGGGCTTAAAAGTCAATTGGTATGAAAAAAAAACCCTTCCTGAGTACATATAGAAAATAGAAAACAAACCTCAGAAAGTTAAACACAGAATCACTGCATGACCCAGCAATTCCACTCTCATGTATATACCAAAAGGAACTAAAATCAGAAACTCATCCATGAATGTTCAGAGCAGCCCTATTCACAGCGGGAAGTTAGAATCCACCCAAATGTCCATCAACTGCTAAGTGGGCAAACAAGAAGCAATGTGCACAGCCGCTAATGGGGTATTATTCAGCCATAAAGAGAAATGAGGTGCTGATCTTTGCAAGACCATGAATAAACTTTGAGAATGTTATGCTAAGTGTGAGACACCAAACACAAAAAGTCACACAGTCTATGACTCTATTTAAGCGAAATACCCCAAACAGATAAATCCACAGAAGACAGAAAGCAGACTGGCAGGTGGCAGGGGGAAGGGAGAATGCAGTGATTGCTTAATAGGTACTGGTTTCCTTCTTGGGTGAAGAAATGTCCTGGAACCAGAAGGAAGTGGAGGATGCACAACACTGAGTACACTAAATGCCACTGAGCTGCACGCTTTAAGGCAGCTAACTTTATGTCATGTGAGTTTTATCTTAATTTTTTAAATAAAAGTGTAATGCAGAAACTTGAGAATAAGAGTCTCTCTGACTTATTTCTCCCTTCACCCCATTGGTCAGTTACTACAAACCATTCAACCTACCACTTGGTTTCCTGAAATGTCTTTTGTTTTTCCAGGTGTTGGAGATTGAACCCAGGGCCCTTCCCCTGAGCCCCATCTCCAGCCCTTTGTATTTGGAAACATAGTCTCATTAAGTTGCCGAAGCTGAGCATGAAATTGCCATTCTCCTGCCTCAGCCTCTGGAGTGCTAGAATCACAGGCCTGCACCACCAGGCCGGCTCTGAAATGCCTTTGTATTGGCCCCTCTACTCCGTCAGATGCCTCAAGAATCTTTCCACTTGATGTTTCACAAGATCCTCTGACTGAGAAGCTTCTCTTTTTCTCCAACTACATCTTGCCCTTACAGAGTTCCCAGCATGGTGGCAAGAAAGGAATTTTACAAAAAGAGTCATAGAAAATGGGCACCCAAGGGCCAGAGATTTAGCTCAGTGGCACAGCACCTGCCTCGAAATCACAAGGTCCTGAGTTCGATCTCCAGAAAGGGGGGGGGGGCACCGAGTCCGGGTGGGCAGTGAAAGGCAGTGTTATGGGGCACTGAGAACAGGAACCTAAGGTGCACGCAGGGGATGGGGAGGGCTGGGGAGTTGGGGAGAGGCAATTCCTGTAGAAAGCACGTTCTCTCCTAAAGGATGAGATGGACCCAGTGGGACAAGGGGAGAGGGGCAGGCAGAGGGGGGCTGGCAGCACTGGAAGGATGCCTGACCTCACTGGCTCCCGATCAAGGAGGCTGCATTTCCCTGAGGATGCATCTTGTCCCACCCTGTCACAAACAACCAATACGAGCTAAGATTCTCTCACTCAAAATGCTGGGGACCAGAAGTACTTTGGATTTTTTTTTTCCAAAGAATTCTGAAATTGCAGTAAATGTAATGTGATGTCTCAGGACAAGGTCTAAATCAAATTCATTTAAGTTTCATATACACCTTGTACACGTAGCCTGAAGGTAATTTTATACAGTATTTTTAGTGCACCTGAAATTTTTTCAGTACTAGGGGAATAAACCTAGGGCTTTTGCATGGAACTACATCCCCACCATTATTTATTTGTTTGTTTGTTTGTTTATTTATTTTTGAGACAGAGTCTCACTAAGTTGCTAAATTTCTCAGGCGAGGCTTGAACTTGCAATCCTCCTGCTGCAGCCTCTCACAGTGCTAGGATTACAGATGTGCACCAGCAGGCCCTGCTCCGTGCACCTGCATTTTGACGATGACCTATCCCATGAATCAGGTGTGATATTTTCTCCTTGTGGTTTCAGGTAGGTGTTCCAAATGTTTCAGATTTTGGAACACTTTGGATTTCAGATTTTCAGAATTGAGGATGCTCAACCCATGGAGATATATGTGTATCCATTTCTTCTTATCGGGCTGGGATCAGACAAGTTCCAGGGGCCCACCAGAGGCAAGCTCCAGGGGCTGGCTGTCAGTTCTTCACAGTGGTTTTCTCCAAAGTGGGCAGGGGCCACATGGGAAGGCAGAGCCTGATTTAGAAAATGAATTAATGCAAAACATGCATTCTCATCTTCTACTGTTTTGTTCAAGGTCTGGCATTCTACCTGCACCCTTCCTGGGCCAGCTGAAGCACTCTCACTGCAGCTGAGGGGCCCACACCCAGCCTGCCCTCTCTGCGACACCCCTGCCTGCCTGTCTAACAAATTGGCCCTCCTGGGGATACTCTGTCTTACATAAGTTCCCCTCCTCACCATATTGCAGTTGCTGACTGACAGAGACCATATCATGTTTCTCCCTTTGCCTTTTTCAGGGGGAGAAGGGCACACGGTGCACTAGGCCAACACACGGTACAGTGCAGCACATGAGCGCTAATTCGGGCGAATTGGGTCCCAGGGTGTTCTACCTAACTAGAAACATCAGCCAACTCATAACTTTCAAATTTCATCTGAAAGCAATTTATGAAGTCTGGAGATTCTTTTTCTGGGAGTGTTGAGGGTGCTGGGTATGGAGCCCAGGGCCTCCTAAATGCTACCCCAACTCTGAGATCTTGGAATTCTTCCCTTCTCCTTCTCTCTTGGTAGTAAGCAGATCATGATGTAAATGAGACTCAAACTCTTGGCTATTTCACCTCTAAAAACTAATACTCCTCCGAGGTCAGCGGCTATTTACAAGGGCACATAACACAAGCATCTAACAGGGTGGTCAATACGTCCACCCCAGAGGCAGAAACCATAGAGACACTTACTTCCCCTCCCACAGATGGTGCCAATGAACACCTGCCAGCCCCAGGAGCGAGCCACATGGGGGTGCTCACTGCACGCTTGGACCCTGTCCTATAGTGTTGAGTATGACCCAATAAAAACACCTTCCTAATACCATAAGTACATAAGCAGCAGTGTGATCTATTCTTTGTGTTATTAAAAGAAATATTCAGTCCAAAGTAATAAATGAACCAAGAAACAAATATAAGGGTGCTAGAGGACAACTCAAAATCTCTGAAGGGATAGTTAGAAATTAAGTTAGAGAGAGAGGCATTTGGTTTGGCAATCATTCATGGAAAGTAAATAACCAAGATCACGTTTACACTTTGACACTGCTCTGGAAGGCAGGAGAAGGAAAAAAAACACGCTTCCATTATAAAATAGCTACTTCAGCTAGCTGTCCAAGACTAGATTACCTGTTAATACTGTCATTTGCTAGCTGGATTCCAGAGTCCATTTGCAACACTGTCTTATAATCCACATATGCCTTGCCGTACTGCTCTAAAGTTTCATAGGCCATGGCTCGTCGCAGAAGAGGTTTTATGGAGAAAGGATGGAGTTCCAGAGCTCTAAGGAAGACAAAAGTATCATTTACTTTGACAATTAATTATACTTAACATATATATATATATATATATATATCGCAATAGTGGGCTCTCAAATACATACATAACCTGCTATTTCATCTTGGGGACCTGGGAACATAACAAAAAAGCAAACCCAAAGTAGCAAATTCCTGGTTATTTTCTTTGAACCCAAGACCAAAGCTCTCTGGCATTTCCTCCTTCCCCATGAGTCTCGACTCCCTGGAAGCAGGCATCTGCCTCCTTTGTGCCCTCGCAGAGCCTGGCATGGCCCCAGGCATACAGCAGGGATTCATGTTGCTGACAGATTCAAAAGAAAATTCTTTTTTTTTTTGGTACTGGGGATTGAACTCGGGTCCTTGCGCTTGCGCAGCAGGTGGCGAAACCACTGAGCTAAATCCCCAACCCCTGGAAAGAAAATTGTTATACACCTATGCATTTAATAAGGCAGCTTAGCGGGCCAGGGATTTAGCTCAGTGGTTCTGCCACCTACCTCGCAAGTGCAAGGACCCGAGTTTGACTCCTGGTATCAACAAAACAAAACAAAAAAATAAGGCACCTTAGTACAGAACTACAAAACTTGCATAACATTTTGAAAATCAGCTTTCTCAAACTTTCTACAGTTCATTATGATTTACTTTCTGCAAGAAGGTATCAAAAATAGACCAGAGAAAATCAAATAACTAAACATATTATGATTCTTTTATAAATCATGAATTTTTATCATGCATTTCCTAATCTAGAAAGTGCTTCCAGCATAACTAAGATGTATTTCAAGGTTGTGTTCTTTGCTTTTGTTCCCATTAACTATTTAAAGCTTCTTTGGAACTTAACATACTTCATTATATTCCGAAATAAAACACTCTCAGACTGTACCTATGAATGAAAATGATTGTACTCTTGGTTTTAACAAAATCATATGAAGCAATGAAGAAGTCCTCCACGCTGAGACTGCACAAAGAACCTATGCCTGACCTAACCTCTACCAGATGGGCCACACTGCAGACTGCAAATGTGTTCTTTGTGTCAACTCTTGTGCTATAAGCGGTTCCTATAGCAAATGTTTAACCTGCCTTGGGGAAAGCAAGAGTGAGGGCTGCTTTAAATTTCTTTTCCAATAGTCTTAAAAATCTGCTACTTTTGCTGCCAGTGTCTTGGCAAGGAGAAAGCACTCGAAGAACACCTACATCCTGGGCCCTGCAGACTTTCTCTCTAATTAAACAGCAAACCTCTGAGGTAAACATTAGTATGTTCCCCACACAGGTGAGGATACTGAGGGACACATGGAGTGATGTGTCCTTCTGTCGGTTCTTTTGCACGTCAGCTGCAGGAAGGAAGGCACACTGCCCAGCCTGAGTGCTACTAGACACATTCTCAGTCCTAGCTCCATACCTTGTCATGAGTGGCTCAGACAGAACCCTTGGAGACACTCTTCCCAACACACACACACATACATGCCCACTCACTGCCCAGGAAGGAACTAAGTCACCTGCCACTTGGACTCCTTCACAACCTTCCACAGCAAACAGTCCCTCAACTGCCTTTGCGGGAGCCCACTTGGACTCTGTACCATAGAAATTATTCTAGAACTGCCTCTAAACTTAACTGGCTCATTTCTCTGAAAAACAACCAAATTGCCCTGGCCTGCATGTTCTGAATGTGAGTCATTTTAATGGTCATCCTTGTGCGGTGCTATGTTTTGTTTTGTTTTCTATAATAGGTTTGTCTTACTTCTGTAATCAGTAAAAGTCACTTGAAAATAAAATTTAAATCAAGTAAAAATATGGAAGCATGGATCCTTGGGCATCCAGAGCTGTCACTTGTACCACTGTCTGAAATCTAGGGAGTTTACTGCTGAGGGAGGCTAACTACAGGAATGGAGATTGTAAATGTGTCCCTCTCACAAGCATGTAGACCTCCAATGTCCCCGGTACCATTCAGCCAATGAGGATACTCCTGGGAGCTAAAATTGATAAGATGAGCTATTTCATTTTTATCATTTTATAGCATAGTAAATGCAAGGTGTCCCCCCACCCCCTGTTTAAACTGCAATCCTGAAAATGAATATGAGTTTATAAATGGAAATTCCACTAAGGAAAAAAAATACCCATTCACATACAAACAAGCACAAAGAACTTTTCAGCCAGAGCTGTCTTTTCAAGTCAATGCAATTAAGACCCTGGGGAGGCTCCTAATCTCAAATCTGTCAGAAAGTAGTAAAGATAAGCCAAAGCAGAGAATTACTAGACAACATTCCTTTGATTTAGTCTGTCAAAATATCCTCAGTGGAAAGCCACTGAAAGATTCTTGGGGTGGTTTAGATAACCCAAAAACGTTCTCTGAAAAATGAGGAAAGATTTTTTAAAGCTAATAAACAATTGCGAGCACAAAAAAAATTTCTAAAACAATGGTTCTCAAACCTTTCTAAGCCCTCATAGGCTCTTTGCAGGTTTCACCTGGAGGCTTAACAGAAACAGGCTACAGTGAGGTCAAACACCGGCCCTTATGCTCCCCATCCCTCCCCACAGAGACCCTCCAAAGTACCCCTCACAGCCCTGACACTCCTCAGAGGGTGGACGTTTAAAAGCAAAGGGCCCAGGGGCGGGGATTTAGCTCAGTGGTTCCACCACTGCTGCGCAAGAGCAAGGACCGAAGTTCGATCCCCGGTACCAAAAAGAAAAAAGAAAAAGAAAAGAAAAAATCAAATGGCCCATTTCCCCACGTATATATAAAAAGTCACTTGCACTGGCTGTTTTTCCCCTTTCCCTTATTTTAATTTTTGCCCACATAGGTTTTCCTTTTTCAATGTCTCAGGCCCAGTACCACCTGTCTAGTAAAGAGAGCCACAGAACTCTTCAAGAGCAAAAGCTTGGGGCTGGGAATTTAGCTCAGTGGCACTGCTTATGCCTTCCAAGAGCAAAGTCCTGAGTTCAATCCCTGGTACTGCAAAAAAAAAAGCAAAAGCTCACAAAGAACTTTCAAAAAAATACACAATCTTTTGAGGGTAAAAAGATAGTCATACTGCCTGCTAATAAATTATTCCTACTTCATAGAGATTTAAATACATCCGCATTTCAACATGCTAGCCAAGATGCATCATGGCTTCTCTGGCATTGAAACAAGTTTAAGAATCACAGCTAGGAGTCAAACCACCCCCTACTGAGCATCATCTCCATGCCCCTCCTGCTACTGAGCCAAACACCAGCTATCAAAGAAAACATCTAAGTAGGTCAGCCTCTATGGAGCTCAGCACTGACCAGCAGGGTCAGATTCCTTGGCTAGAAAGCACTGCTTACCTGAGGACACCACACCTAAACAAGGGATGCCCACCTCTCTCCCCAGCAGCTCACCTCCTGCTTTCTTAAAACCGGCCTCCACTCTAGCCTCCCTGACACCATGGTGGGACTCCTATCTCTTTTCCTGGGCTACACTGTAACACAGCGAATTTTGGCCAGTAAACGCCTGCCTACTTAAACAATCTCACCGAAGAACAGTGAACCCACTGTTTTCCAGCAGCTCCAACTTCAGGGGTCTCAAGTTATAACTAAAGAATCCTGATCTCGCTGGCTTTAGGAAGGTCCAAGACCACTCTGAAGCGGGTGTATTAGAAACAGACACTTGAGCTGAGAGGATGTCGGCTGCGAATCACAGTGCGCCTGGCACCTAACAAATGCACAAGGTCTTGTCAGTTATTTACAGGCAGTGGTAAATGTTCTAGGTTCTATGGGAAAATTTTAAAAATCCCAGATTCATGGCATTTATCAGATTTCATGGTATCTATAATGGCACCATGGTAGATTTCCGGCTACCAGTTTGACTCAACCAGCCCACAAAATCCTGAAAATATAACAGTTAGCTGGTGTGAGATAGGATGGGGCCAGGCCAAAATAGAAATATTATTTATGTTAAATGTGAATATATCAAATTGGCAAAAAAAAATCCAAGTGCCTCAAGGTCTTCTTTCTAAACTGCAGGCACAAATCATATCAGTAAACTGATAATGCCAAATGCAAGAAACAATGAGCTGGTCACCTTCTATGCAGTGCCCACACAATGCAGTGTCCAAACTAGGGCTTCTGAGAGCGAAATGGGAGGTGATAGTTCCTAATTATGCGAGTTAACAGGAGTAAACCAAGATTGTGTTAGTCAAACCAGAACATGATTTATTTTTTTAAGATACACAAGTAGTAACTTGTTGCCAAAGGGCTTCTGAAGCAGGCTCGTTACTTAAGGGTAAAAGAAAACAGTATGCTTTATTTTTGTCAGTATATTCCTCCATCCTGGCAGGTAACTCACTCACCGAGTACCATCAGTACCTGTCGCGCTTCAGAGGGGCGTTTAAAGCCGAGACACAAGGAGCTACAGGGAGGACAGCGTGGCATGCAGTGCTAGAGACCAGGGTGGCGTGGAGAAGGGATTTCAGAAGCAAAGATATGCAGAGGGCGTTACCCACTTCCAGGTAAACCACGGCAAAGGCCTGGTGAGCGGAAGTGGTCCGGGAGCAGAAAGTTGGGGGAGGGAGGCAGAGAAACTCATAATTGCCTGGAAGACAATCCTGAGCCTCAAAGCCCTGCACCATAACGTTTCAGGAGAAGTTATCTGCGACATACACTGCAACTAGTGACGAGGCGTCTCCAGGAGTCTAGGGGTGAACTGGGGTGGGGGCAGTGGAAATAAAAATGTCTGCACAGTTTTCCCCGTCTCCACTTGTGAGAGAGTAGAGAATGATTTTCGCGTACTAATCAATCAACATATCCTAACACTATTTTAGGAAGTCATATTCGTATACAGAATAGTGCTTTCGCCACGCAGAAATGGTAGCGAGGTCTTGACAAACCCAAAACGTGCGGTTTACCTGTTACAATCTCGAATGCAGCCCCTGCAGTTTCCTTCCTTCAGGTAACACGCTGCTCTGTTTGAATATAAGATACTCACTTCATCTGCGCTTTCACTTCCTACAATCACACGTAATTACATACGGTTAAAATCCATCAGCAAAATCACATTTCAGCAGAACTACGAGACGACTGCGGGCTCGGGCTCGGAGACGCTGCGGCCGTTTCCCGCCCGTGGTGCAGAGGTCGCGGCGCTGCCCCCCACCCCCACCCCCCGCCTTGGCCCCGGGCCCCAGGTCGGGCGCGGCGCCCCCTACCTGCAGGCTCCAGCCGCTCGATCGCCGCCGAGTAGCTGCGCGCCGCCTCCGAGAACTGCCCGCCGCGGAACTGCGCGTTCCCCTGGCTCTTCAGGCCGGCGGGGTCGGGGCTGGCGTCGGCCGTCGCGGGGTCCCCGGAGCTCCGCCCGCCGCCCGGCGCCGTGGGGGTCGGGGACCGCCGGGCGTCCCTAGCCGGCCGGCCGCCTTCCTCGGCCCGGCCGCTCGGCTTCTTGGCGGTGTTGCCCATGGCGCGCGCGGCAGCTGCGGAAGACCAGCGGGGTCGGAGTCTGCATCACCCGGACGGGAGGAGCCGCAAGGTGCCCGGCCCCGGCCCCCGGCGCTTCCTGGGGACGCGGGTCCAGGCTCCCGGGCCAAACTTAACTCTTTAACCGCTCAAGGGCTTGAGACTGAAAACTGGCAGCTCGGGAGCAAGTCCTCCACCCGCCCTGCCCGTGTCCAAGACCGAGGAATGAGGGAATGAAGTTACCAGAGCTTGATGGATTGGTGGATGGCACCCAAGGTTAGGGAACCCTTTCCGTATTTAAAAGGGTGGCGAAAGAAGAAAAATCATTTGAAAGAAAAAGTCAAATGATTTTTAAGTCATTTCAAAGTGAATTTAGCAAATAAGTCACATGAAATAGGCCCTCGTTTCTAAGCTTAAATAAGGGAACCTTAAATACAGTAAATTTTCCATTTCGATGCATTATTCAAACCAAAATTCCCCGTGAATCTGCTTGAAAATTTCAGGTATATAACCTTAATTACTAACGACTAAATCTATTGTTTTTAATTATGCAAATTATATATTTCACTGATGGATGTGATGAATATTTAAAACATACCAAGGCACTGTTAAAAAGCACTTAAATATCGAGTTTTCTCTTAACGAGTTCTAATCTGATTTTTAGTGACTGTATTTTCCATTCTCCTTCATGAATAGTAAGGCCAAGATGTGAAGGATAAAAAAAACCCAGTTATATAAGTGAAAATCAGTGGATGATCAATCATTTTAAGAAAAGTGTTATGTAAAAAGACATTAATTAGAACAGTTTTGGTTGTTTTTTGGGGTTTTTTGTTGTTGTTGTTGTTCTTTTGTGGGATTTTTTGGTACCAGGGATCGAACTCAGGACCTTTCGCTTGCAAGACAGGTGCAGTTACCCCTGAGCTACATCCCCAGCCCTTAGAACAGTTTTTAATACAGCAGACTAACATCCAATCGGGATCACCAACCAAAGGGGACTCAATTATTAAACCAATAAAAATATTTTGTTATAGAAATAATTCCCAGATTAGTGAGAGCAAAGCTCCAGTGTTCACTGGCAACTACTATTCCAGTGCTAACCCAGAAGCACGGATCCGCGGCCACAACTTAGTATGAACAACTTAGTAATCATTTTCCACCCCCTTGAATGGTGTCTCCTCATGTCTGACCAGTACTACTACCAAAGCTGCTAGATTTAGAACTCAATATGCGTTAAGACTTTTATATACATTAGTATTAATCCTCATTCCAAGTATTAACATTCCCACTTCAAGATGAGGCAAGAGAGACACAGGGAAGAAGCTGAAGACTTCATTCAAGAACAGAGCTAGAGGGGCTGGGGATTTAGCTCAGTGGTTTCACCGCCTGACCGGAGTTCAATCCCCAGTACCAAAAAAAAAAAGAACAGAGCTAGAAACTAGCATGACTGGGATTTGAACAAAAAATTGAAATATCCCTAAACTAGGCAGTCCTTAGAAGGCAAACAGAGGCCCAAACAAGAAAACCTGTGAATCTTTTTTTTTTTGTACTGGAAATCGAACTCGGGTCCTTGCACTTGCGCAGCAGGTGACAAAACCACTGAGCTAAATCCCCGGCCAAACCTGTGAATCTTGTTGGGTATTGACCTACCCAGGGGACACTGAAGAGGGGCTGTTCAGGAAGTGGCACCATATATAGATCAGAGGAGTGGCCTTTTTCAGAGACATTGACTTGGGAGCTGCCAACTTATAAAGGAACTTCACAATATGGGTGCGGATGGGATCACCAGAGCATCCAAAGGATCCCCAAGAAATAATAATACTTGTAGGCTGAACAGAGGAAGACCCTCCAATGGAGATGGAAGAATGCCTAGATAAAAAAAACTAGGGCGATGGACAGGCTCAGAAACCAGGAATATGTTGCCAAGAAAGGAGGGGACAGTAGCAAATATCCAAAAAAAGAACAGCCTTGGGTGGTATAGTTTGCATAGCTGGTAGGTGCCAAAAAAAAAATTTTTTTTTCACAATAAAATACTAGGAAGCCTGATTCAACAACATATGAAAAGGATCATATACCATGACCAAGTGGGATTTATCTCAGGAATATAAATGTAGTTCAGAATTAGAAAGTTAATCCCTACACATCGTATTAACAAAACAAAAGGGAAAAAACTACATGGTCATCATAATTAATGTTGAAAAGGGATTTGACAAAATCGAACACCCTTTCCTGAGAAAAGCACTCAGAAAACTAGACATAAATATGAAATTCCTCAACATGATAAAGTATGGATCAATGACTTTTAAATATAACTTCTAAAACATAAAAATCTTAGAAGAAAATAGATTCACAGTCCTAGATTTGACAATGTATTCTTAGATATGATACCAAAAACATAAGCAACAGAAAAAATAACATAAGCAAAAGAAAAAATAGATACAATTGGACCCCATCAACACTAAAACTTTATAGCCAGGCATGGTGGCACATGCCTGTAATCCCACCACTAAGGAACCCTGAGGCAGGAGAATTACAAGTCTTGCTGGTCCACTTAACGACTTGGTAAGACACTGTCCCAACATAAAACATAAAAAGGGCTGAGGATATAGCTCAGTGGTAGAGAGCCGCTAGGTTCAATTCCTAGTACCTTTTACTAATTAATTAATTTAAAAATGTTTGTGAATCAAAGAAAATTATCAAGAAAGTAAAAAGAAAACATACAAAATAAGATTTTTAAATCGTATTTCTATCTGATAAGGATCTGGTATCCAGAATATATAAAGGATACTTGCAATTCAACAATAAAAAGACAATCTAATTTAAAATGAACAAAGGACTTGAGTAAACATTTCTTCACAGAAGATATACAAATGGCCAAAGCCACATGAAATGACAGTGTTCAGCAGTCATTAGGGAAATGCAAGTCAAAACCATGAAGAGATCACTTCACATCCCCTACCATATCTATAATCAAAGATCAGCTGGGGATTTAGCTCAGTGGTTCTGGTCCCTGCCTCACAAGTGCAAGGTCCTGAGTTCGATCTCTGGTACCAAAAACAAAAAATCTATAATCGAAGATGCAGACAAGTGTTGGTAGCAATTTAGAAAACTTGGAACCCTCCTACATTCCTGGTGGGAATATAAATGGTGTAACCACTTTGGACAATAGTGTGCAGTTCCTTAAGACACTAAACAGTTACCACATACCCCAGTAATTCCATGCCCAAGTATATAGTCAAGAAAATTTAAAACATCTGTTCCCACACAAAGAACTGCACATAAATGTCCATGAAGTAATATTCATTAACAGCCCCAAAGTAGAAGCAACCCAAACGTCCATCAACTGATAAAGAAAATGTATCGTCCATACAGCAGAACATTATTTCTACATAAAAAGTTATGAAATACTGATATATGTTGCAACATGGATAAACCTTGAAAACATTATGCTAAGTGAAAGAAGACAGATACAAAAATCCTACGTGTCATATGATTTCATTTACATGAAACATTCAGAATGGGCAAATCCATGGGGACAAAAGTAGATTAGTGATTGGGCCAGCAGTCAAGGGAAGGGGAGAATGGGGAGTTACTGCTAACAGGTATGTGATTTTTGTGGGGCTTGATGATAATGAAAATGTCCTGGAATGAGGCAGTGGTATAGCTGTACAACCTTGTGAATATTCAAAAATCCATTGAATTAGGAAAGAATGAATTGTAAGATCAGACCAAGGCACAACTGAGACCACTGAGGCAGGCAAAATCTAAGCAACATGTGAGGAGTTTATTGCCATCTGGGTGCAGTGGGCCAAGGGTTAAAAGGCCATTGGCCTTGAGAAGGTGGTGTGCATGGTTGTCACAGGGGAGTTTAGGTAGGGGAGGGGGGACTGGTCAAGAGGGTAAAAAGTGTTAGTCCCGTGGGTGATGGGCCTGCCGCTGGCTGATAAAGGTGGTGGTGAGAGCAGCAGGCCAGCTGCTGGCTTCCATTATCTCTATGCTCCTGTGGATACAGGTATCGGTCTGCTTGGGGGAGGGGCTCCCGTCTGGTTAGGTGGGGGTCCAACTCAGGGTAACTGTGATGAATTATATCCCATTTTTTTAAAAAGTGATTTTAACTCGCCTTTGATTGCAAAAGGTACCTTCCCCCCGCCCCCATTTTGACCAATTTGATAGGAGAAAAAACTGTATTTAATTTTCATTTTTTATTAGCAACAAAAATTTATTAGTCATTTCTATTTTTCATCAGTGATTTGTTCCTATGCTTTGCTCATTTCTATACTGGTTCCTCATCTTTTTCTTACTGTTTTGTAAAAATTCTTCATCTTATAAGGTTAACAGCCCTTTGCCCCTTTTTCTGATTTGTTATTTGTCTTTTAGGTTTTTTTATGGAGCCTAATGTATAAAGGTTTTATTTCTGATAGATAAGTTAGTTAGAAATTATTATAAGGCAATTAGACAAAGCTGGGTCCTCAGCATAGAAAAACAATTGAGGCACATTCACTGTGGCATTATAAAAAGAGAGAAACTTTACTACATCCAGTAACTTCCCCTAGGGATAAATAGCAGTGATTGATATCCTAAATAGGTATCAATCACCTGGGTTGGGGACCAAGACCTTAATGCCATCTCTTCCCGAAAATCCTTGTTCATTCCTTGTATGCTTGCTACATGACTTGCTTCCTCATTTGATATTCATTTAATCAATATTACCTCAGCAGCTATACTTGTCGTAATCTTATTGGTTGATCATAGTTTTGTCCCACCTCGAACCCGCCTTGTGATTTCCCATTGGACCAATATTACCTTAGCAACTGTACTTGTAAGCTTACTAGTTGACTATAATTTTGTCCCACCTTGAACCCGTCTCACTTCGTGGCTTTGCTCCATAAAAACCCCCTGGGAAATACAGTCTAGCAACCCACTTTCTGATTCCCCTTCTGTCTCTCCTAGAAGCTATTTTTCTCTCAATAAATTTTTCCTACTCTTAACCTCCATTAATCCTAGAATTCATTCTTCGATG